CATGGGCTTTATAAGTGACATCTGTCACATGACATCAATGTGATCAGTTTGCTTAAAGGACATTTAATCCATCAGCTTAATATAGTGGTATAGAACATAAAATATACATTCAACATTCGCACAATACACAGTTGGTAAATAACATTACATATCCTTTGACACTGGTTTTGAGTAATCTTCCCTATTCAACAGTTTATCTAATTCATAACCCATTCATACTAGCCCAGGGTTTTTGCATTCAAATGGAATCTGACGTACCTTTAGAATTATTCACAATCATGAGGTTGATTAATTTTTAATACATTCATTTTACATAGATGATATAAAGTCGAGAAGCATGTCTTTACTACCATCTTTAATGTTAAGGATGTATTTCACTGGGAAGCCATTTGTGACTTTAGACCTGGTGTTCTCAATTAGAAAATAGATGAGTCATAGGAGGGGATTAAAATTCCCCTCCCAGTCAACCCCATTGCCCTGGCCATCAGTTAATAGGGATAGATGGGTAGCAGGTGCTCTCTATAGAAATGCTAATGAGAACCTTTTACTAGAAGAAATCAGCTGAGGCACCAGGAGGTAGAACTAATAAACCAGAAGCAAAATACTTGAAAAATGAGAGCAATAACAAGGAAGTCAGGAGAAAAAGGAGCCTTTAATGTCTGTCCTACAGCCTTTCATGAAGGTTNTCAAGAAAAATGCTTAAATTCCCCCTCCAATTTTTTTTAATTCAGGTCTTCTGTAAAACTTAATTATACATATGACTTTGGGGCAAGGAGTGCCATTTTGCTGAATAATCAGAAGGGTTTTGAAACATTAAGAGAATGAGTGTTGCTAAGAGCGAGATCAATTTCTTTAATGGACAATTTAAGTGCATGACAAGTGTGACGTGAAATTTAAAATTGTTTTTGTTCCAGAAGAAAAATTAACCAATAATAGGGAAATGCACTATGTGAAAGTAAATATAAGAAAAAAGATATTCGATGAATTAAATACACTGTAAAGAAAAAATGTTTGGAAATTATAGGCTTATCTGGAACACTGATTTTCTTTCTCTATTGTTTCACATTCTTTTTCTTGCTATGACTTTGGATATCTCCTGAATTTAAGTATGCCCCATGTCTGCTGTAGATGGGCCTTACATCTCTTTGGAAGCTAATTTAGGCTCCATTTCAATGATAATCTGATTTGCATCCCTTTCTTTCTGGCACTCTACATGAAATATGGTATCACCATGGTGACCGGTTCATCTCATGGGCTTTATAAGTGACATCTGTCACATGACATCAATGTGATCAGTTTGCTTAAAGGAC